TCCATGGAAGGGTGCTGCCCACACTTAGGGCTTGCCTTCCTTCCTCAGTTAAACTCAGCAGACACCCTTACAGACACGCCCAGAGATGTGTCTCATCAGTGCTCTGGCTGTTTCTTTGCTTTTGAGACAGGGTTTCTCTGTGTAGCTTTTGTGCCTTTCCTGGAACTCACTCTGTAGCCCAGGCTGGCCTCGAACTCACAGAGATCCGCCTGACTCTGCCTCCAGAGTGCTGAGATTAAAGGCGTGCGCCACCACTGCCTGGCTCTCTAGCTGTTTCTTAAAGCAAGCAAGTTAATGATGGAGCAAAGATCAATTAAAACAGTTTATTTTTCACTCCCACCCAAAGAATTTGGCCCAGAGTATTTTCTGACTGACTTCAACCCTGTCCTGCATTCTTTCCATTCATGTCTTTAATAAGTGGATATTTATTGAGCACCAACAGTGGCCAGATAATGTTGTAGGTACTGGGGAATGAACTAGGGAGAAGAAATAACCATCTTCCCCCACTTTTCCTGCCTGCTCCAGAGCTCTGCTTCCTCTTCTCCAGCCCCTCCCCCGTGAGCCCCACCGATGACTTGCCTCTCACTACAGTGACGCCTAGGTGGCATCCTTTTTGACCTATTTCATGCCCTTCTTGCAAATCAATCCTTTGTAATCAGTGCTGCCCTGACCAACCATGACTGTCCCTCCACTGCAGGCAGAAATCAAGGCCAGCTTCTTAGCTGCCACCAACTCCTCAACCAGAAGTTTCCAGCCTTTCCTATGATTCTTAGGTATTCTTTCCTTCCCCACAGGAAGACTGGCTCACTACTCCCCTGCCCTTAAGCCTGACTACATCCAGTTCTTTATTTTTGCTATTTGCTTAGCCTAGAAGGACTCTTCTTGATTCTCAGGTCCTATATGTCTTCCATGTCCTCAGTCAGAGTTTTCCATGAACCCCCCTTTCCCCCCTATTTTTGGTGGAACTGGGGATTGGCCTTAGGGTCTCCAACATGCCAGACAAACACTATATGCCACTGAGCTAGATTCCCAGTCCTGGGATTTCTTAAACTATCATTTTCTCCTGGAGCCCCCGTCAGTCGGTGCCCTCCTGGTCAGTCACCGAGTTACCTTTGTGCCAGCTGACCCTCTCTTGTTCACTGGGTAAGGCTTGGTGAGGCAGAGTTCATGCCTACTGTGTTCTATTGTTTACTGCTCTTAATCCTGGTCGCACATGTGTCCCTTGAGTAACAGAAGCAGAGAGCAGGAAGTGAATCCTGGTTTAATTTCTACTCTGAGAAATGGAAACCAAGCCAATTTGTCTTAATCCACACAAAGAAATACAGAGTTCCGTGCAGGAAGAACATCAGTTCTGGTATGCACTTGGCAAGGGATGCTTCCCATTCCTGTTGAAAACTGAAATGTTTTGTTCCATGAAAAGACTAGGTCACTGGTTCAACCCTGTTTCCATGGAGGGCTTACTAAAAACCACCCTAGGAGGAATAAGGCATTTGTGCACATGCTACCGAGTCATCTGCCGGCCCGGGAGCAGACTTCCTTGTGTACATGAACTCTGCATCTGCTTTAAAGCAGATACAGGTATGTCTCCTGCAATCTAGGTTCTGATCTTTGCCCTCAAAGATGAAGAATTGGGATAACCAGAAACAGTACCTGAGCAGGCAACGTGGCAGTGATTCTTCTGTCGTATTCTGTCACTTCTGCACCACGTAAAACTGTTTATCTGAAAAATGCCATAGTCAACGGTTCCGTCATCCAGGAGAGTCTGGACTGAGGTGTTGTAACGGCTCTCATAGTATGCCATGCAGATCCCTATATGGGGAGAGAAAGACCTAAGGGGACCACAGTCCTTTATCTCAGGTGAATTTCTTTATACACGCTCCCCACTGGCCTCCTCCCAGCAGACCTTTGGGCAGGACGCACACACAAGTGAGAAATAGCAGCAGGGCATGGGAATGTGTACAGAAGCAGGAGTGCCAACCAGAACCTGCACAGAGGCCGGTAGCTGAGCCTTACAGGAGGAAGCCTAGCCTTCTCCACACACTGGGATGGCTGGCATCACTGTTCTTTCCCTCCCTGTGGTCATGAACACTGGACTCCAGCCATAAGAAACCAAGGACCAGGGGGAGAAGGAGAGAAGGGTGAGCATGCGCAGTGTGGGAGAACACGTGAAGAGCTAGCAGCCATCTCCGATGGGAGGAGAGCTTGGCCAGGCTGGAGACCACCAGCTGGAAACATGGAGTGGATCTGCTATCCCTCCTAGCAGACACCCACACTCAAAATTAGGAACGAGACGGGAGGCAGGGGAGGAGTCTCACAGTTTCCAAGGCTAAATCCCCCGTAATTGTCCAGGCCAGCCTTCACAAATATTTTTGCCAGTTTACATCGAGTGTAGAGTTTGGATTCTGCAACTATGCTGAGGCTGATAATCAGGGCCAAGACACCGGCAGCCTTCATCCCCAAGGCCCGTTGGAAGCAGAGCCTGCCAAAAGACCGGGAGAGTGATCAGACAACTTTGATTCATCCTAAGAGCACCAGTCATCAGCATTTCAGAACACGGTAACCCCACTTTAGTTCTTCCTGGTTGGGGGCGCCCCCACCTGATTCCATCCTGCCTGTTTTCACCCATTCTGAACCTCTGTGGGAGGGGGGAGGAGAAAATAACTCAAGACACAAAACACAGGGCAGGAATAAGACGGGAGGCGCTCACTGCTGTGTCCTCAGAACCAAAGAGAAATGTACCGTCCCTCACTGACATCCAGGTGGAGAGGTCTTGCTTCAAACATACCAGTCTCTCACCTGACACCACAAGAGGATGGGGTGGTTTTTTGTTTGGAGTCGCCCTCACTGCCACCCTAGTGGAGGTCCTTACATGTTTGGCTTCTAGTGAATTAGTGTAGAGAGAGGACAATGGGTAACGTGAGTGGAAAGTGTTGGGGGTGAGGAACAGGGGCAACAAGGGAACCTGCAGAGGAGTTATTTAAAGGGGAGCAAAAGCAAGAGCTGCCTTTCTTGCTGATGACCGGCTTCCAACAAGATCTTTTCCCATCCAAATAACTCTTTCTTCAAGCAGCACAACTTTGCTGGAATGAGGCTGGTGTGGTACTTCTGATAACTACTCAGGACACTAACTCAAGATTTGTACAGGGTTTTTTGTTTGTTTGTTTTTTGTCTATTATTGTTTTCTGCAACTGCCTAGAATCTTCAAAAGGTGCTAGTCATCCAATGGAGATAGATTCCCCAATTGGGAAGTTTGAAAACACGGCTCAGTGTGCAAGCATGGACTACCAAAGAACCACAGTGGGGTTTCCAGTTTCTAAGCAATGGGGTACCTGGATGCTGGTGAAGAACAAAGCTCAGAAAAATCAGACCTATTTTTCCAAGTCAGGTTTTATTGGAACCTGGGTCTGCCTAGATGGTGATATATTATTGTGCTTGGCTGTTTTCACAGTGCAACGTCAGGCCCCAGGAACCATGTCAGACCATAGAGGCCACCAGACCAACAATACTATCTGTCTCTTTATGGAAAATGTGTTGGCTTGTGACCTTACGCTGGGGACAGAGAAGCAGGCAAATGATGTGTAAGATCCAGAGCCTACATGTTAATTAAGTTTTCATCCATTGCATCAGAATCTGCTCTGAAAGAGATCAAGACAATAGCCAGAGCAGTGGCAGCCCCAAGCATACTGTTTGAAACCTCTGAAGCCCAGGTTTGCCCTTGCTGAGCCCAGATAATTGTGGTTCCACTCTTACTGAGAAGGCAGACTCCCAATGCCATCTGTAGACTGGTTTCCTGGGTGATGGGTGGAAGGAATCTGGTTCTACTTACTCAGTCAGTGAGCCGTAGTTCCCAGAAACTTCCCGAATCCCCTGAAGCCATTTCTGATTCTCACAAGGCGCCAGTGATCCTTCACTAACTCAAGGGCCTTTTCCCAGAGCTTTGGCAAAGGAAGGATTCTTATCTCCTTTGTTTCCAGCTGCCTGGAGGTTCTAGAACCCCGAAGTTCTCAACAGTCTTGTTCTGCATCTTGCTTGCCCTCTTTTTATTCTTCCTAGTCAACAATCTGGTCATTAGCTCAGTCAGGGCCTCCCATGCAAGGGAGATCACCTTTCCAACATGGCAGTCTCCAAACTTTATTTCAATCTCCATCACTAAGAGGGCATGAACCCAGAATTCCAATTATAGGTTCCTATACTTCCATGCTTTATCAACCATCAACCCTGTATAAATTAAAAGATAGAGGTGAAATAAACATTTAAGACTTTAACAGCATAAAATTTATTTGCTTTAAGCAAACTGCTATTAGTAAAACATTTTTAGAAGAACAGAATTCAAGTAAAACTTAAAAGCATACAGAGGACAGGAATACAATATTGAAGTATAAAAACTCCCAACTCCCAATAAAATATTTGCAAAATGATTAGCATTCTTACATGATCATTGAAAAAGTTGATGTGACACAAAAGATCTGGGTTCAAGCCCATTCATCTCCAGGCTTCAATGGGACAATACACCAAAATTTTAATTGATTGAGATATGCAGGTCTGGTTAGAAGGTTATTCCTGGTGGTGCTTAACTAATCACTGCATTTTCTTAATTTTTTTCCTGCTAATAATGCCGATGTTTTGACCAAATTTATTTTTAAGTCTGCACGATACAACATTGGTCAGTGCTAGCCCAACATACACAGTTCATCTCTGTGCACACTGGAGCTGTTTCTTTCTCCTAATAGAATCATATTGTAATTCATAATCTCATGCATAGGCTATTTTTTACTTTTCTAAGAATGTCTGTAGGACAAATTCCTGGGAATGGGATTTCTGGGCTTTTATGATTTTGTAGTATGTTGTCAGATTGCCTTCCACATGGATTGACGTTAGAAGGCAGGGCTCCTTTCCCACTGCCTGTCTCACATAGGATGTCAGCAATCACAGTAGTTCCATCAGGATGAGACAAAGCACAGTTCTCAGTGGTGCTTCGGCTTCTGTTTCCCTAGTTTCAAGCTGCCCGAGAGCATCTTTTCTCCTGAGGACTCTGTTCGTGGATGTTGTGAGAAGGGTGTGTGTGGAGAAAAACGTGTAGGCACCTTCTTCAAACGTCCTTCAGCACGCTTCAGATCAGATTCTTACTATTCACCAAGACCACAGGAACAGCTGAAGAACCTTTTTTATGTTCTTTCTATGACACCCGCTTCACATCTTTGCAGGCTACAGGAAAGATGCACAAAAACCATTCATAGTTTTTACATTTTGTATCAGTCACTTTTCTATTGAGTATGTAAATTTAAATCTAATGAAATGGGTGGAAAGTTTATGTGCTGATGATGAATCAAAGAAAATCTAAATGGATAGGAAAGACATACCAGGCCCAAGCACGTATGTTAAGATTTGGCTTTCATATTTAGTAGAGTCTCAGTTCAAATTCCAGAAAGCTGCTTTGGAAATATCAGTCAGGTTATCCTAAAACATATTGGAAAGCAAAGATGACTGGGACTGTTAAAAGCATCCTGAAAAGAGGATGAAGTAGGAGGGCCCATAGTGACTAACTGTGTGTGCTAAAAGAACACAAAGCTGCTTCAATCGAGGTGAGGTGTCCGATGAGAAGGTTAACACTTGGGTCCACGGAACAGGATGCAGAGCCCATCAGAAGACAATCAGCAGAACGGTGTTGGAGATACAGATGTCATTAGATGAGATGATGCTCTTTTTAACAATGGCTGGGACAATGACAGACAATAACAAAAGAAGTAAAAGAAGGCACAGAGGAAATGTGGCTGACACTCTGCATACAGTGCAACTCCCAGCTCGTCAATGACCTACTTGTAAAGAGTAAACTTTTAAACCTTCAGTAAATTAACACCAAGGAACCTCTGAGTTTCATGCTTTTGTGCTAAATTTTCGTTTTGAATTTTGTGCTAAAATTTCATTGCCAAACTCAAGTCATGAAATAATTAAAAATAATCATAAACTGGACTCGACCAAATCAAAACTTTAGCTCTTTGAAAAATTCTGTTAAGGAAATGAAAAGACTAGCCACAGTTTGTGAAAATATTTTCATATCGAGTGTCCAATAAAAAGCCCTGTGTCCAGATTGTGTATATATTGTATGTCTTAAAATTCAACAATGGGCAAACAACCCAATTAAAAAAATGAGTAGCTGTGACAAATGGAGCATCTCTATCATACCCCTCCCAGCAAGGCTCAGGGACCATTGTGAAAGAGGAGGCAGAGAAATTGTAAGGGAGGACTGGAGTGAAACTGGCTTCTGGACATGAGGGTACCTCTGCCCTTATGAACTCAGCAGCCATGGCTGTCTGCCCAAGACCTGCAAGAAATCAAGCCATCAACATCTCATCATGCAGGGAGGGGCCCTTGAGACGCCTCCCCTAACGGAGGAGCCTTTGACAGTTGACAGCTTCTGGGGGAAAGTCAGTTTTCCTTAAGGGTTCGGCCCCTGGTAGGTTGACCAGTGGACGACTCCACACCCTTGAGTACAACACAGGTAAGACAAATTAGACTTGGTGGATTGTTATTACTCTTTCTTTAAAAAGGAGGACATAAAGTTGGGAGGGGGTGGGAGAGGGGGGTGGATCTAGGAGGAGTTAGGGAGGATGGGAGGGGTGAATGTCATCAAAATACATTATATGTATGCATGCATGTAAAATTCTCAAAGAATGAATAAAATGTATTCACATTTTTCCTGGGAAGAAATAAGCAAAACCATCTGAAAGGGGGAGTCAAAGAAGATGTGCAGGTGGAGGAGTGGATGTCTCCCGTCATCTGTTGCAAAGTGATTTCTAAAACTATAATTACTTATTGCTTCAATGCAAACTGAAATTGCTGACAAGTTGGTTGTAACCCATAAAGTCAAGGAGAAGAAGGAACATTTATTCCTTGCTTGCAGAAGGCAGAGCGGCTGGCACATTTGGAAAGTGGCTGGGTGAAGTTGCTTGTGTAGTTAGACACAGGCTTATGGCAGAAACCCAACTACTCTAAAGTACTTCTTCAAGTGAATCAAAAAATTATGTTCACACAAAAACAAGTTAAACAATGTCTATAGCACAGCTTTATCAACAACCACCAGAAACCACAGGCATCACAGATGTCCATCATCAGGCAAATGTAGACATGAACTTTTGTATGTCTTACAGTGAACAGTAGTACTGCTCAGTTGACTTGTCTTCACAACCACCCAGATGTTTTAGATGCATTTTGCTAAGTGAAAGCAGCCCAGGCCAAAGGACACACATTAAATGATGCCAATTACATGATGCTATGAAAAGACAAAACTGTGGGTAGAGAAACCAGGTAGCTGTGATGAGTGATCAGGGTAGGGTTTGATGACAGAGAATCTCGTAGAGAAATCTCAAGTCACTGGCAATATTCTCTGCAGTAGTAGGGGGTGGACACCTGATTTTACGAATGAGTCAAAGGTCATAGAACCACACAGCACTGAGAGTGAACTTCTGTGTGCAAGAGACAAAAACTCAGCCAGATTGTGGGGCTTCCTGAGATGAACTTCAAGTGCAACAAGAAGACGTGCCTGTCACAAATGTATGGTGGATCTCCCCAAGGGAGATGTAGGGAAAGCCACTAATAGATCTGAAAAACAGTATTTCTTCTTGGCTATTTGAGCCTAAAGACAAAAGATCTGTGCAGAAATATTGCACTTTGGTTGGTTACTTTGTTTCTTAGATAGAAAGGTTATCAAGTCTATGAAACTGCTCTAAGGCCCATGGAGGGCTCAGTCAGGGTTACCAAGTCTATGAAAGCCTATCAAGGGCTAGCAAGTCTATAAAACTGCTCTAAGGACTACAGAGGTCTCAGTTAGGAAAGTGCTTGCTGCAAAGAATGAGGACCCCAGTTTGGATGCCCCACATCCATGTAGAAAGCTGGGCACTGTGGTGTGTGCCTGGAATCCTAGCACTGGGGAGATGGTTTCAGGATGATCTGGAGCTCACTAGACAGCTCAGTGGGCTCCAGATTCAGTGAAAGTCTCAAAAAATTAGATAGCAACTAAGAAGAAGCCTGATGCTGACCTCTGGCCTCTCCCACGCAAGTCTACAAACATACACATTCAGTGACACATACATGCACATGCACACATGCAAAACTATGTCTATATGCTAGGGTTGAACAAATGCATCAATAGATTGTAGCTAATGGGGGGGGGAGCGGTCAGATTTCACACAGTCAGGAGAACTATAAAGATACAAAAGAATAAATCCTGGGATGGTGGATGAAGATGAGTGGTATCAACAACTACCTGTGTATCATCTATCCGCTATCATCTACCTGTGTACCATCTGTCTTCTATCCATCACCTACCCTCTGTCCATCACCTATCATCTCTTCTCAGGAGTAAACATAGAAATGTGTGTATATATTAGTCCACAAACATTTATTTCTTAATTAGGTTTTCTTAGAGAACCTAGACAGTGCCACTCCTATGGCAACACATGCACTCATTAACCAGAACTGCATCTTAGTCTTATTCTCCAACCAAAGGAACCAGAACTCCTTGGAAAACTGGCTGGTTTGAGAACAAGGGCAGGAAAAAAACAAAACAAAACAAAACAAAAAAAAAACAAGATGAGCCTGGATCATCTTGTTAGTGTAAGAAAATAAGGAAGTACTTAAAAAGAGAAGAACAGAGGGTGTGGAGCGGTTGAACATATCAAAGGGACAGTAAAGCCAAACTAAATGAACTCCTCATGGCCAGAGCTGACACAACTGAGCAACAAAATAAGCAGCAATGCCATGATTTTATAATAACCAAGAAAGAAATCAATACGGCTGAGTGTGGATGAGTGAAGGACACAGTAAATGTTATAAGGAGAAGGAATACATGTTACTTTATAGAAAATCCTAAATGATCGACACGGATTATGGTTAAGCTCCAGGAAATGGAGTTTAATTCTCCTCCCTTCTGGTAGGGGCTGGGCTTAATCCCTGTTTCCAA